ACCCCCCCCCCCCCCCCCCCCCCAGAAATGTCAAAGGATTTTTGTTCATTATATTGGTTCTTTGCATCCCCCTAAAGTGGACAATTTCCAAACGGAGACATTGCCTGAAAAACCGGAAACAGTCCCGGTAAAACTGGGACGTCTTGTCACAATATTAGTATAATAGCGATTGGAATTTCAACCCCGTCAGTAAAATGGGGTTCAGAAAAAAGTCACCCAGAAAAAAGATCCCCAGAATTGACACAAGCGGAAAAAAAGCCACCTTAGATGGAAATGCAAGAAAGCCACCCGGGTGGTTCCTTCGAAATTATTCATTTCTATATATCAGATATAATATTCATTTCTATATACATATCAGATAATTAAAGACATTCACTTGCCGATGCTGAGATACACTCACGCAGGGATGTGGCTGATTATTATCCATGTTTTAATATTTAAAGGTGAATTGCCACCAATTATTCGAGTGACATTGATTTTTCGTTTCCATTTACAGTATAATAAAACGATGGAAGATGCAAAGCATCGCAAGGCATCGCCCGATTGGAAGCACTTCTTCAAATATATTTTTATTTATTGTTATTTCCTACTTTCATTATGAATGGAAGGACTATGTTCAGCTATGAACATGGACTCATCTCAATGCAATGCTTGAACAGACTTCGGGGGGAGGGGGGATGGATTGGAGATGGAGATTGGGACGATGGGCGGTTCAAAGGAGTGGATTGAGGAAGGGAGCTAATCCTGATCCTCTCCAACCCCCGGAAAAAAGAGTGAAAGTGGAAATGAAGGAGATAAAAAAAACTTGCATGACCCCAGAGCAATTGTTATTTGAGAAAAAATGCCAAGTGTTCAGAGAGTGCAATCATCTCATCCTGCAACACGGTCACAATCAAATATATTTCCAGCGATACTATTCATTTTTAAGGAATGGGTTGAAGTTGGACATGTTTTATTTTTCATAATATTTCAGTGACATCAGTATGACTAAATGTCACAAAAATGGATGAGTCTGTAATTTGACCAAAACATAACGAGATGGCACTTTCTGCCATCTGGGGGTCTTATTTCCGGGTGGCTTTTTTCCTAAGCCCCAGTAAAATACCATGTAAAATTACATACATGTAGATTGTTCCATCGTCTGTCCGTAGTCCATGTTGATTAACCTGGATACTTTTATGTTCGAGATCTTTTTTATCTATTTTTTTTTATAGCCTTGTTTCGACTGAGACGTTATCCTGGGATCGCCTTGGGATAGTCAGCTTCTGGGATTAGTCGAAACACCTACTTTCACCCCCCTCCCGCTGTGAGAAACGCCGCCGGGCAAACCGGTCAATCCCAGGGTCGCTCTGGGACTGTCCCAGATTCAGATCTCAGTCGAAACGCATTAATGGGATGAGCATCATTTGATAGGCGTGCCGAACTCTTCCTTCTGCTCGCGTCCTTTTTTTTCCTTTTCACCATGAGTGTTCGTATTGTTTAGAGTGAGGAAGATGTGCAAACTCTACTGCTTCTATTTAGCGATCTTAATATTCAAAGCATGCTTG